ACAACAAATACTGTATATCTCAAAACCTTTTGCGTTTTCCATATTCTTTAAATATTGTCTTTTAATGATGTAAGCTGCCTTGGGTCCTTTTTAAGGTAGAGTAAAAATACTTTAAATAAATATATTCCTTCTGCAAAACCAAAAAATTAAAAAAAAAAACCCGAAACATCTCTGTCTTCTTGCAACATAGTGATCCTTTTGTCTTCTTAATGTATGAAATACCTTACACAGGGCCACTAAAATCTGTATGTCTTAGCAGAAGGCCCAGAAGAAGTGTATAGTGACTGGCCAGTTAATTGACCCCCTCATTTGATGTGCTTGCTATGGATATCAAGGTGAAATTCAAATGAATTCAGTAACTTCAATTTTAAAGACATAAGCTTTTTCCTGCCAGATTTTAAAAGCCAAACGCACATTAGTATGCCAAATGTTGAACACGCCTTAAATCTTTCTCTTGCCATAGTAAATTTCTAGTCAGCACTAACAGTCTCGCTGTCCAGATTCTGGTTCTGATTTATTGTTTTGGATCAGCAACATCTGTGTTAAAAAGTAGATGCTTCCCCCCCCCAATGTTTGGAGCAGATGCCATTATTTTATTATAACGGCCTAGAACTGATAGTAGAATTAATTACTTAAAATGGACAGATTTTTAAAGGTGAAACTTATCTCTATTGCTGCTGTCAAAACACATTTCAGCAAATTCATTGTCACTGGTTTCCAACCTGTGTTTGGGGGCACTGTGTACAGCCTCAAAAAAATCATAAAGGTTTCCTTGATGAGAGGTAATGGCAAGCAAGCTTTCCTGAATGCTTGCTCACCACCACGATTAAATTAGCGACACTACAAAACTGAAGGAACCCCTTGGTTGCACAATGTAGATAAATCAATGTGGAAAGGATACCATGAAGGTAGAGAGTAGAAACCACTGAAATTCATAATTAACATTTCAATTTCATTCAATTTTGGCTCAGCTTTCAGAAGGAGAATACTTAGAAAAGTGTGAACATGTTGGATGGAAATTTTTATTTCCAAGTTATCCAACATCTGTGCTGCAGTTTTTAATGTGCAGAAGTAGGAAACTACACATTATTGCATGATTTTGAACTTTATTTCTCATCAGTCTCTACAATAATGGTCAGCATTCCAAAATGATGGAGGCTGCAGTCGAGAAATAGCTAGAGAGCCAAGGCTTGGCTATGAGTTTACAACAATTTAAAAAGTTGTGCTGGATGAGACCAAAAGTCTATCCAGTTCAGCATTATCCTGCTTCCCTGAAAATAAGACCTAATCTGAAAATAAGCCCTAGTATGATATTTCAGTATACTCGTAATATAAGCCCTACCCCCAAAATAAGCCCTAGTTAAGTGAAACTCCACCCTCTACCATTGTACAGCAACCAGAAGAAGATGACATGACTGTATTTGAATAAGTGTAGATTGTTGTACAGGAAGAAAAAAGCCATCCCCTGAAAATAAGCCCTAATGTGTTTTTTGGAGCAAAAATTAATATAAGACCCTGCCTTATTTTCGGGGAAACACAGTAGAAGACGCCGGCATGTAAGTCTGTGCAAGCATATCAGGCAAAATCCAAAGGGAAAAAAGGAACAGCAGCAACAACAAAAAGACAAAAAAACAAGTGAACCTTGAAGACTATTATATTTGTGAGCTTTTGTGGATCAAGTCCTCTTCTTCAGACATGGAATAAAACAAAATACAGAACTCACAAGTAAAACATTCAAAACATTCATTGGCTTGGGTGTGTGGTTATATCTCATGTGCAGTAATTTATGACCTATGTTTGGTGTTTGGTTCATTTTAAATATTACCACAGGAGACAGAAAATAGATAACCAGGCTATAGGGGAAAAAAGGAGGGGGGAGGGGGGTTGGTATTGTGAAGACAGACTGTGAGCAGTAACAGGAATAAAGGATATCAGTCAAAACCCCAAGAGAAAAAGAGGTAGAGAAAAAATATATAAATAAAAATAAAAGAAGATAGCAGAGGAATCATACGTGTTAATATAGAGAATATTAATAGTTTTTACCTTTGAGCTTTGTAATGAAAGGTGAATCTGGTAGTTGTGAAGGAAAATAAGTAGATAACTGTGTGACAGTTCAGTATGTTGCATCTAGCCATAGTCCCAAATATAGAGAATATTAATAGTTTTTACCTTTGGGCTTTGTAATGAAAGGTGAATCTGATAGTTGTGAAAGAAAATAAGTAGATAACAGTGTGACAGTGCAATATGTTGCATCTAGCCATAGTCCCGTGACCGGTGCTAAGGAGGAAGGAAAATAATACATTATCAGAAAGAGGTACCACTGATATGTCTGCATTCCACTTGAGTATATTCCATGTTGCATGAAGACATCTACTGTATATAAAATGTATAGCCACTGCATCCTTCTGCTGTTCTGTGTTACAGTTTGTTATGTGTTATCTGGGACAGAGAAAATGTGTTTTGGTTACTAGATACCCCAACCTCTCATGAACTTTCTGGACATATTTAATGTGTAGGTACATTAAAATGTATCTATAATGACTGAGGCTAATGTTTATTTTCCCTTGGATTATCATGCAAGGGATATGTAGAGATGCATAACGATTCTTGTAACTATATCTCGTTTTCTCAATACAGCTTGCTTATCAAGCATAGTCTTGACAGTAAAGCTTCAAACCAGATTGGCAGAAAGCTATTAAGGTTTGTAGGTTTGGATAAACATGTATCAAATTGGGGATTAGCTGAATCAGGAACTGATCCAAATTATTGGTATCTGTGATCAAGATCACAACACCATTATTGTGTTGTGTTATCTAAAGCCTGAGATAAATTAATCAATTTAAAAAATCTCTTTTTAAAGACTCAAACGTTGTGGTAACTATATAAATAGGTAATGATGTTAGGACCCATTCTTGTACATCAGGCACCTAGAAAATGTTTGCAGAAACATGGGAAAGCAGTAAGAAGACTATTTGTGTCTCATTTAAATCCTGGCTACAGTGAAGATGATAAGTACTGCTGCAGTTACTGTGAAACTAATTAGCACAACAGCTACCTCAAATTTCCTTAATCTTGATAAACCTTTTCTTGTGTCTTCCTTCTCACATTCCTCCAGTTGTTGTTGTTGTTTTTATTTTTCCCTTCAATCAGTCCCCTCCTCCCCAAATTATGCTGCCTTCTGGGATCTTCAGACTAACACTAACCATCTGTTCCTCAGGTGAGCATGCAGAGTTTTTTGTGCCTGGTTGCCTCTACAGATTGTTTGATGCTGAATGCAAGGATGAAAATTCCATTTTGGGCATATAAAAATAATAGAGGTGGAATATGCCAGTGGTGCCTCGCTAGACAGTTACCCCGCATGACAGTTTTTTCACTAGACATTGACTTTTTATGATCGCTGTAGCAATTCACAAAACAGTGATTCCTATGGGGGAATTTCGCTGGACAATGTTGGGTCCCTGCTTCACAAACCGATTTTTGCTAGATGACGATTTTGACAGCTTCCTCCGTGCTCGCAAAACAGGTATTTTTGGGACCTAAGCTTCACAAGACAGTGATTTAAACAGCTGATCGGCGGTTCGCAAAGTAGTTTTCCTATGGCTGATCTTTGCTAGACAATGATAATTCTTCCCCATTGGAATACATTAAACAGGTTTCAATGTATTCCAATGGGGAAATGCTTTTCACTAGACAATGATTTCACTAAACAGCGATTTTAGTGGAACGGATTATCATCGGCTAGCGAGGCACCACTGTAACAGGATAACACTGACTCATCCTAAAACCACACATGCTGTTCAGACAACACAGTAACTTGTCTTAAATCAGGGCAGATGATTGTGCAGATAGAAGAGCTGTCAGTAAGTTATTCATATGAATATTATTACAGAGAGAAACAAAGAGCCTTCGCGACAAGGCACAGGATTCACCTGTGTTCTAGTTGATATGGGGAGAAAGGAGCCATTTGGCTCAGAATCCTATTTCTCTTTGGAAATTGTCACCCCTTCTATAAGTTCCATGCTCCTCTTGAAGGAAGCTCACCTCCACACACTTGAAAAAACACCACACTAGATTGTAGTAAATACATAGTCCTGGTTGTGCTTGTTTAGGGATTCCAGAAACTTTATTCCTCCCTGAAAATACCTTTCCCCACCTCAGAACAAATCTAGGATTACCACAGAGTCTACACTTGATAGGAAACTTAAGCCAGTCTCCTCTATGTCACCCGTATAACACAAAATATTTCTAAATATTATTTGTATTTTTGTTCAAGGTTGTAAATGTAAATAAATACTTTAAAAGCAAATAGAATTTGCAGAGGAGGGTATTGCTGCCTTTCTTTATTTGAATCAGAGAAAATGCCTAGGTGATCAACCATTCAGCTGAATAAAGAAGGGGCTTATGTTGTTTACTGTTCTTCAGGGAATAGAAGACCAGTTTGAAGTGGTGGGCCAGAAATGGATTAGTGCATGTGCTCTCTCTCTCTCTCTCTCTCACACACACACACACATGCTCGCACACACAGATCCTGACAGGCATCTGATATTCCCTGGAAGTGGGAATGCTGGTAAATGTGTTTGCTGAAAGTGAGAACTGAAGAAATAATGTTTCCAGTTTGAGACATGACCTGTGAAACAAAAAGCAATATTAGATGTTGTTTTGTTTTGCTTTGCTTTGTTTCATTTTTGTTACAATAGACTAGGAAAAGGTACATTTGGAAAGCTGTAAACTATACCATTACTTTTTGGGACAGCCTTTCTGGGTACTTGCCTCCATTGCTCTAATCCCTCAACATATGCTTTTATCAATAAAAATCAACGAACTAGCAGAAAACCTCAGATCTTCATCATTCATTCTCTAGAAGAACTGATCCTGTAAATATACATTCCTGGAACTTCACATTACTTGAGGGTGTGTAAACATTTTTCGTGGAATCCTTGTGTGTTTTTTTAATAAATTTTCAGTTTGTTTTGGTAACATTCTCCATCTTCGGTTTGCAGGAAAAGAATTTAGACTGGTTCCCCCGGATGAGAGCAATGTCCCTGGTCAGCAATGAAGGGGACAGTGAACAGAATGAAATTAGAAACCTCCAAGAGAGATTGGAATCTACTATGAGCTTGGTCAAGCAGCTCTCTAGTCAACTAGCTGAGCTTAAAGAACAGGTTAGTTGTGTCTGGGTTTTCAGGATTGTTTTGTTCTGTTTTTAAACAGAGCATGAATATTTAGTTAATATGAATGTAAGAAGTAAATGCTTAGCTGGATCATAGCAAGAGTAATGCCAGTAAAAATTGATGTTTGTCATTGGGAAATCTTGTTCCAGTTTCACCTTACATTTTTCAAATACTGTACAGTTATATCCTAATTAGCACTCAGGATACGCTTCTAGAGTATGGAGTGCTTATCAAAAACTGTGGTAAATGAGGTCGTGGTAACATTATACCTCATTGGATAGGTAGAAATGCAAATGAAAAATTGAGCCTGTTCCAAGCCTGTGGCACTAGAGGAGATGGGGAAAGCGGAAGGAAAAACATGAAGGAGGAAGTTGCGTTGTGTGTGAAAGAAAAAAGGGGGCAAAAAAGGGAAGGTGAGGGGGGAGAGAGAGAGAGAGAGAGACTGCAACCACCCAATGCATGCCTTCGCCACATGAGGAGGAGATGGCAAGTGAGGAAGGGCTGAAAGAAAGTTCCCTACTGATCGGACTGCTCCCTTGCCTGCTTACTTGCATGTGTGTGTGTGGACAGTGTGTGTTTCTGTCTGGGAGAAAGTGCATGAACAGGAACTGAGCTACGGGAGACGAGAGGGGGGGGGAGAGAAGAAAAGTGGGAGGAAGAGGGGGCAATTTGCACCAACCAAAAATGACTGACTAACTAACTAACTAACTTTTGAGAGGATGGTGAAAAATATATTACAATGAAACAATGCTAAATGGGGACAGTATTACACAGAATACACAATAATAAAATGTAAGCATGGAAAGTTTGTTACAGCTGTCAAAACTTTGCTGGTGAGCTTTATTGAGGATCAGTAGATATAGGTGTGACCAAAGTCTCTGTTAGTCCATCAGTCATTGTGAGCTTCCTAAAAGATGAGCGCGATGTAAACCAGCCTCAATAGCAGTGACTGAAAATATATGTGCCTATTATTAAAACATTTTATTATAGTAGGCCCCATTTTGAGATTTCAAAAGCACTGCCCATTTAGTGTGGCTTTTTAAAAAAAAGCTACAGTTTGTTAGAAGGATGAGTGACCTTTTATTTTTCATTCCTATAACCAGATCCAAAGCAGCTTCAAGGCATATACAAGCAGGCTGTTAACTCAGCTACACCAATTAAAATGTGCATATCTGCTATAAATAACTTTCATCAAGTAAATCATACAGGTCCATGTATGCTTATTCACAAATACAGTATGTTTTATTCTCTTCAATGTGTCTTACTCCTGAATAAATGTGTACAAGACTGCAAGCCTAACTGGTTAATTTACTGGTATGCACCAGTTAAACCTCACATTCCCGGTTTCTATTAACAAAAGAATTTTGCAGCTCCCTGGTGAACAACATACTTGAATTTGAAAACTAAAAAGCACAAGTAAAGTACAAAATGGTGTTACACTAGTTAATGTGAAAAATGAGTGTTGTATGTAATGCATGTTGTATAGAGAACTGCCGTGAGGCAGGAGAAATTGCCCTAAATTAACTATCCACTACTTGTCTTCCAAAAACTCCACAGGTTTTTGAACAAAATGACTCATTGCTAAGGAACTACTTTTTTCTTTAGCTTTTAAGTATCAAAATAGCCCCCCCCCCCCCGCCCGGTGCTGGTTTTTCTCATCTTTCTACCTTGTTTCTAAAAAGTCACTGTGTAATATTTGTAATTTTGCTAAAAAGCAGCCAGGATCTCTCATCTTGTCTTTATTTCCCTCTCCACCTCTAGATGACAGAACAAAGGAAAAACAAGCAGAGGCTGGGCTTTCTTGGATCAAACGCACCCCATGTGAACCATCACATGCCACCACACTGATACCAGGGAGGAGGGGAAGCCGTGACTAGCCTTTCATCAGTATTCTCGCTTGATTACCGAATGAAAAAGCTGAGATCGGGAGCGCTGAACGGCGCCTATTGTTGTGAAGTTACAAACAACCGAGTGCCAAGATGTTAAGTGGTTTAGCTCTGGGAACAATTTGTAACTGTTTTTTTTTTTCACAGTTGAAAGGGGCCACGGGCTCGAATGTCACAGATAATGGCGGCAGGGGGTGGGGTGGGGAGAGAGACTTCTGGATGGTACCCCTGGCGAAAAAGGAAAGGAAAAAGAAAAAGAGATAAATGTGGCCTTAGTACTGTCTTGTAATTTAATTTACTTCTTTAAGGGACTGCAGGCAGATGCGAAGGCAAAGTAGAATCTGACTCTTGTTATTTTGAATGCTGTTGCAAGAATCTTTGTAAAAACCAACGGAGTCACCAAGAAGGAATGGCTTATTAACACAGAATGCAAAGGCCTCATTCAGAATTTGTAGGAGTTCTTTGTCGTTGCCTTTGCTGACCAGCATCATTTGTCATGTTTACTTGGCATTTGCTCTTGCTCTCTCTTCTCTTCTCTTTTAAATTACCATAAACATGTCATTGGAGAAAGCAATAATATTACATGTTGGATAATGAACAAAACTATCCTTTTAAAGAAAAATTGTTTCACTCCTTCAAAAACAGAGGATTGCTGAGGAAAGCAATGATGCTAAGAGAGTTCCTAGTGGTCTGCTGCACTCGTCCTTATTTATAGCGAAGAGCACAGGAGAGCCCGCAGCTGGGAGAACTTGAAATGTATGCACATACCACTGACAACATTAACTGGAAATAATCTCTTCATTCCTGGATTTGTATGTTTCCTATTAATGTGGAGGCAAGGGGAGATTTCACCTTATAGTGGTCTTTTAACTGAGTTTTAAAATTCACATTCTAGGGAGAGGATTGGTGAGAGAAAATTTTATGTTTTATAATTAGTATTAGAGATTAATTCCAGTGCATAAACAACTTTGAAACAGCTTTCTAGGAAAAATTGTAATTGGACTGTTATTGTCAAATCACACAAAGAAACGAGGTGCAATTTGGATTCCATGCCGTTTCTTACTGTTCCCATGCAAGATGTTTCTCAGATAAGATTACCCAGGATTGCAGTTTTTATAACTTCAGTGAAATATCAGGTTCTGGTATTTTAGAATATTCAGAATCAGGATTTTACCATTTATAAATCAAATGTGCAGGGGTGTTTCCTACTGGGACAATCCAAGAGACTTTAAACTCTTATAAATTAGGACTGAAAGGCATCTGTCGCAGCAATTTTAGTGAGTCTTAATCCCCCATGTGTGCATGCATCTGGTTTAAGCTTTTCAGTCCAAATGCTGAAAAGGAATTATAAAAGATATTTCTGATACCTTTGCCCCAATAAAACAGGTAACATTGATTATATGTTGCAGCAATAGTGGAAAATTCGAAAAGGATTCTCATCTTACTTTTTAAAACTGAATATTCCGCAAATGCAATCCAAATCAGTAAAATTATTCCACCATGTATTATAGTTCTACATCATGATTACTTTGCAAGCTCTGTCAGCGTGCAGTAAAGGTCTTGTGTGCCACACTTGTTGCATTTTCCTGAACAGCCCTCCATTCATTTTCATGAACCATATGTAAAAGCAGTTTAAAACCCCTGTTTCTTGCACTGAATAGTGAGTTATGCAGACAATAGTCTATCATCTGCTGGATTTATTGATGAGGGAGTCTCCGTCTCTAGAGTGATATATATGGGGTTCAAGGAGGGAGAAACGTTCTTTCATAGTGTATCAATTGCATTTTTCCTGTCACAGATTTCTATTATCCTAACAAGGTCAGAATGAGTTTTCTATCTGAACCGTAGGGTAAAATCAAAACAACTTACTGCGAGTAACTTCAGGTGCCTATATTTAAACATAACTGAAATGCCTGGGATTGAAACCCAAATGCCTTAAGACCACCCCTTTGCATTTCTCTGCAGATATGAAGGGCCTATTGACTAAACCCCTCCATAGAATGCAAGACAATCTACAAAACAGGTCTATCTTTTGTCAGAATGGCTGCTGATATAATAAGGGTTGTAGATGTTGCAGTGACAGGCTGGATGATTTTGTACACCACATTTCTGGAGGGAAAGAAAAGAGCTGCAGATTGATAAGGGAATCAATAGCAACATACCGCAAGCTGTACCGCGGCAGTCACTCAAAAGCTGAGCACATAAAGTGTCTGCATATCAAGTCCCAGGGTCCTTGGCATCTCTAACAACAAAGCTTGGAAAAATCTTTTCTTGATCCTTCAGAGAGTTTGCCAGTCTTGAGTAAACACTGCTGAGCTAAATGCATTAGTGGCCTACTGCATATCATTCAGCAGAAATAGGCACCTACTGCATATGATTTAGGCATACTTTCTTTGCGTTTTGCTAACTCACCACATGTGAACTAGTTATAGATCTCTTTTCGCTTCCCATATGCTACAGAAACAACATGGAGCCATAGAGGGGGAAAGATGGGTTGCTTTTCATAAATCTCAGACTTGAAGTGGGTGTGTACTAGATTTTTGCCATAGGATGCCTTCTTCCATTATGTACAAAGATGCTCCCAATGGAAGGCGGCATCAAACAAGCAGAAAGCACCGAAAAAGGAGATGTTTAAGTCATAAATGGCAGAGGACATAGTTCTCAAGTACATTTTCAGAGCCTGATTTCCCTAAAATGTAGTGAAATTTAATGTCCCCTTAATTTCAATTTTATCCAACTATGAATAAAATGTTCGATATAGAAGTGCTTAGCAGGCGAAGAAAACATAAGATGAAAGTACTGAATTTAGCTAAGTGATAACTTTAAAACTTATCAACAAGTTGAGTTGCCCTAAAACTCATCAGCAAAAAATTAACGATCAGGTTGTTATCAATTCACACTTCTGAAGTTGTGCTGGCCCAAAGAATTTCACCTAATTTTTTGGATTAACTTTTGAAGTTAGACATCTATGCACTCTGGGGTGGGAGTGGGTTTACCTTCTTGAGATATGGGTGTCCAAAAGCTTTTCCTGATGAAAAACAAGAACTGCCTGGTGCTGTTTTTTTAATCTGAGACATGATGTTTCATTTTGGGGGGCAGCGTGGGGGAGGGGGGAGAATTCTTAGGAAACCAATGAGTGACCCAAAGCCCATCTTTTCAAAAGGAACAGTGAAAAAAACAACCCTTTAAACATCTTAACATCTATGGGGATTTTAAAGAGTAATTTTGACTGGTTAAAAAAAAAGTAGCCTTAACCCACAACATTAAAATCTTAAGCCAAAATTAAATGAAAAGTATTTAATTCTAAAAGCAGAACTGAAACAAGTAAGCTTTCACAGAATATATGCAAAACTTTTTCATATTGCTGGAAAAAAGGATGCCGCCTCAGTTTTCACCAACGTTACAGCCTCGAAGGATCCCCATGGATGGAGTCATATTCACCTCTCTGAGCTTGCTTTCATGCCTTGCTGTCCCATCCACTAGTGTGGGAAAGCTCACAGACAGAAAGCAAAAGCAGAAACAAAACTGGAACAAGCTAGTGTGGTGTATATATGGCTTCCACTGGTGCTTTGGTCCTCCATTTTAGGTGTTTGGAGTGAGGCAATTTAGTCATAATCTCACACTGCAGTTATGAAGTCACTTTATATGCTTAAGCTAAACACAACTCAGTGTTGTTCAGTGTTTTCTCTGCAATTATTGCCATGATTGTTTGCTGCTGCTGCTGCTACAAAAAGTTTATTGCCATGATTGTTTGCTGCTGCTGCTACAAAAAGAGCAACCACACATACTGGGACTTTACAAAATTGCTGTAAAGACGGTTGGTTTTGCTTGGGAGAGGGTATATAATTCTGAAAATAGTTGATATGTCTGTTATTAACAGGTTCTTCTGTGAATAAAGCCTTTTTGTGACAGTCAGAAATCTGAAACTAGACTTACCTGCTCTGTTGACTTTATGCAATGATCCGCTGGGTTCCGATACAAGCTCCATGACTAGCATTACAAGCAACCCTTTCACTTTCCCTAATCCTGTGAAAGTGCACAGCTGTGCACAGGGGCAGTGTGTGTGTGTGTGTGTGTGTGTGTGTGTGTGAGAGAGAGAGAGAGAGAGAGAGAGAGAGAGACAGAGAAGGAGGTCTAAGAAACTGAACCCATCCCCCTCCATGCTCTTTCCTCAAACAGGTGATCAGCTATTTGGGTAGGGGACTATACAACCAAAAGCCTGCATCTATGGCCTGGACAGAGTTTCATTCATATGTTTGGGGACTGGTATGCAGGGAGGTCCAAAGCATACACTATAGATGACAATCAGGGCCAGTTAATGTTCTCCGTGATCCCATTTATAATATTTGTATCTTCCAAGCCAGGCCACTTTGCTCTATTAATAAAGGTAATGCTGGTGTCATGGTTTGTAAGTATTCTACAATTTTAAACAGCCTCATTTTAACAGGTTTGTAATATCAGGAAGTTCAGGATAAATGATACCTTGACTCAACTTTATAGTTCCTTTTGAGGCTACAAGCATCAAGTAGCCACAGTTCACCAGAGTGTAAAAATAAAGGCCTTATGCGATAACTCTGCTGCTCATTCAGTTTCTGTCAGTTTGTTTCCCATTCTTCATGTTAATATGCTTAAGAAAGAACAATATGAACTTTAACAGTTAATTCTTCTCATACATACTGTAATACATCTTGTGTTGCAAATTCTTCAGGCCTATGTTTTCTCCAGTAGTTAATAAATGGAAAGCAGCTTTTTAAATGCTTGAATTTGATTAATTTGCATGCAGGTGGTAAAGAATTGTTAACATGTGCAGTTCAACTGTTTGTAGGCATAGTAGAGCCATATTTAAAGTCTTAGAGACGAAAATTCACTATGTGAAGGTAACCTTTGCCACTGAATTTACCCTCCACACCATATAATTTCCAGTTGTATACACCGTATTTGTGTCTTCCTTTACAACACTGCACACACTTCTGGGTGAAATAGCAAGTGCTTAATCCCAATACCAGTCTTCTAAATATTGTAATATAATTAAAATAGGAAACAAGTGAAAGGGAGAAAAAACTAGACAACAAAAGATACTGGTATTTTCTCATGGTTTAATTTTTCCCCCTCTCATTTTGTTATTTATTTATGAAGTATAATTGACGTACATGGCACTTAATGGAGTAAAATAAAGAAAAATACAAGTTCCTGCCCCAAGTAGCTTATAGTCTTAATGATAGCATGAGTAAATACTACAGGGAATGGAGTATGAAAAAGGGATGCAAGTGTATCAAAAGGAGCCAGAGCACAGAGCATATGATTAATTTCAACAGAGGATGGGGACCAAGTGATTGAACCAAAGTCAACCACTGAGTGGATTTGAAATTAGATTTGAGAGGAGCCACATATTGATGGCACTGATATTTAAGGAAACATCATTAATATTGTCATTGTTCATATTAATTTAACTTACTTTTAAAAAAAAAATTAAGGAAGCAGGATCCTTTTGGGGTGGCAATTGGTTTTTAGCATATTGCTAAATTCTATATCTTTCCTGCTTCAGAAGAAAAAAAGATATCCAAGATTCTAGAAGCAACTGACCTTGTTTGTGGATGCTCATCACTCTTTACAGTGTAGAAGCTTGATTCTCTTTTTTAAAAATAAAAATAAAAAGTGGGTGCATGTATGGCAACAGAGTAGGATAGGATGAGAATTCTAACCATAGAAGAGTGGAAAGCTAGAATCTGGATTCTTGCACTTACAAAAAAACCCTGATTCCGCAAATACAGAATGTTATATATTTAACCTCTTGATTAAACTAATGTTGCCATGCCTGCACCATCAAATGCAGACTGGAAAGCTATGTTCCAATTTCATATTCCTTTTTTGGAGTTAGGCAAACTAAGGCAGAAAAGCTGTGTTGGACCAAAACCTCTACGGCCATGTTGTGTGTATGTTTTCCAAAAGATGTCCCTTTGCTTTTTGGGGGAAAAAAGGGAAAAGGTTGGAGCTATCAAAGAATGTCACTGGAAAACAAGGTCAAAATCACCCATACTATGTGAATTAAAGACCTTGGGGGAAGGTAAACAGCGTTCCGTGTCTAAATCACACTGGCCATGTGACCACGGAAAGATTGTCTTTGGACAAACGCTGGCTCTATGGCTTGAAGAGCGGGATGAGCGCCGCCCCCTAGAGTCGGACATGACTGGACAAAAAAAAAAATTGTCAAGGGGAACCTTTACCTTTACCTAAACTGAAGAAGAAAAACTGTGTTGGACCAAAACCTCTACGGCCATGTTGTGTATATGTTTTCCAAAAGATGTCCCTTTGCTTTTTGAAATAAAAAAAGGGAAAAGGTTAGAGCTATCAAAGAATGGCACAGAAAAACAAGGTCAAAATCACCCATACTATGCGAATTAAAGACCTTGAAGAAAGAAAGGGACAAAAATCAAGTAATTTAAAATGTGGTGTTGGTACAGATACTAAAGGCAGCCAAAAAAAAGCAGAAAAGTGAGTGCTCAATCAAGTCAAGCCTGAAACCACACTAGAGCAAAATGAGTAACCTGAGCCTATCCTACCATGAGCATATAATGGAAATATAGAAGTGACCAGAAAAGATGGTATTGCTTGGAAAAGTGCAGCGGAGCAGAAGGAAAAAAGGGATGATCTAACATAAGATGGGTTGGTTCAGTAAAGAAGTTTGCAAGATCTGAGCAGAATTAAATGGAAAGGACAATATTGCTAGGAAGGGGTAGGAGCAACAGGAGGAGAGAAGAACCTAATGTGAGATGCTGTTGGTTTGCAAGATCTGACCACAGCTCTTAATGAGTGGACATTTTGGAAGCCAGTAACTCATACAGAGTGAGAAAGGGGGTGGGTGGGTTTACCTTACTTCTTTCTCTCTAACCTTCCCCCAAATGTTCTCCCCTCACAGTTCAAATGACCTTGGCTGCTGTTGTTGCTGTCTCCTTACTTGCAAGTAAACTGGGTAACATTTGCTTTGAGATCATCACCTGTCACAAAGAAAAATGGGGAAAAACACCCAGTAGTTCATTTATTTAAAATATTTAACCCACTTTTTTTCCTTTAAAAAGACACAAGGTGGCTTACAACAATTAAAAGATTGTATTTTAGATCATTAACAATGAGTCTATAATACTAAAAGGATCAATGAATACAATACAAAAAAACACAAACAGCTTGCTTGTGGAAGGACAGGAAAGATGGGGCTAGCCTAGCTTCCTGTGGGAGAGACTTCCAGATTTTGGAGGAGGCAGCAGATGGACCAGCAGGGCAACAAATCTGGGGACACAATTATATATTCAACTACTCCCCCAACTATGGTAAATCCACTGAATCAGTTTTTGAATGGATCAGCCAAACCTTATAAAAATCCTAAATTGGAATCAATTTAAAATTACCCTAAAAAGATTTTCAAAGTAAGTGAAATATTTAAGAAGTGGTTTTACCAGTTCCATGCCCTCAGTGAGTTTCCATGGCTGCGTGGGGATTCAGATCCTGGCTTCTTGAGTCTATTCTGGCCACAACACCACTCTGAGTATCCAAAAAGGATATATTTCTGAGTAAAAGCCCATTAACTATGGTGGAGGGGGAATTCTGGGAATTTTGGGTCAAAGAAACAATTTTCCCCAAGCTCTGCCCACAACAGGAGAATCTCCTTCACTACAGCATGTCTTCTCTTTCACACTGAAGGCCATGAAAGGGTTAAAAGTGACAGATATCTGTTCGGTGGGGAGACTGGAGACACATTCTGATTGACCAGAATGCTATGCTATGTAAATATCAGAATTTTCAGAAGTTATGTTTCTGCACGGGGGTAAAATGGTGTTTTTTAAATCACAACTCAAAACCCCTTTGTGTAAATGTCCCCAAATTTAGTACAGAGCAAGAGCAGATGAAAGTCTACATCTGGTGCTGATCCAAGTTCCAGTTTCATAGTTAATAATTCTTTGTTTGAGGCATTTCTTCTTCTTTTTTAATTTGCCTTATGGAAAGCTGAATACTGCTAATGGACAATATATTGGTGCCCTTGATATAATGTTCTCAAGTCTCTTTCCACTGCAGTATGGAATGCCATTGCTTTGATCCATGTTGTTTGCTTCCCCCTTCTGCATTTTTAAAAAAACGTGATTCGTTGTTTTAGGTAAATTTAAAATAAATAGGAAAATTATAAGCAACCCAAATCAACAGGATGTTAATTACTAGCAGTATAATTTCTTTTGATTTCTGCACCTTGCAAGCAGGAGGCCATGTATCCAAGACAAATTGCCTTAAAACTTTGCTGTCTCATAGCTTCTGTGTTAATGCAATTAGCTGTTGAACTGTATAGCTCAGACCTTAAATCTAACCCAGCCTATAAACAGGGGTCTCCAAACTTTTTACAGTGAGGGGCACACCAAATATTTTGAGGGCATTCGGAACAGGAATGTGTGTGGGTGCGCATGCGTACTCATGTATGTGCGGCTTCACACCCACACACATGTGCGCAAAACCACCCACCCCCTGCACACACACCTGCATGCACTCCCGCATGGATGGATGGATACCCGTCCGCCCACCCAAATCCCTGCACCCCTGCACCCCTGTGCACATGCAGGACTGAAGGGAACAGGCCGGACAAAATGGCAACATGGGCCGGATGTGGCCCACAGGCTATAGTTTGGAGACCCCTGATATAGAAGATGGTTTTGAAACATAAAATAACTGGAGCAGCATTTATT